ACAGTATGGATTTGTAAGTTTGGGGCCGTCTCCAGCATTTATAACATGTCCCAATTGTGAAGAGCAAATTAGAAGCATAGTTAACGTAACCCCAAACACCAAAACACACCTGTTCAGCTCCTTATTTTTTGTGTTTGGATGTTGGCTATGCTGTTGCATCCCTTACTGCATAAATGGCTGTCAAAGCAAACAGCATTTCTGTCCAAATTGCAAGGCTTTCATTGGAGAATACAACAGTTAAAATATTTGTTTATTGTTAACATAAAATATTTTTGTTTTGCAATTTAAAAAAATAAATAAATAAATTAAATTTAAATAAATAAATAAATAAATAAAGATTTATTTTTTTAAGTGTTTTTTTATTTTTAAGTTTTAAACACACACACAATAAAACATACTTTTTTTTTCGATTAAGTATATTTTTTTATTTAATAGATACAGTTTTATAATTACATATCATTAACATTGTTTCACAAAGCTGAACTACATACTTATAGTTTAAATAATAATGTAACTAATATTTTAAAGATATATTTATATATAATAATTAATTAATCCCCCCCTTCCCTTACACACACACACACACTAAAATAAATAATACTTTTATTCAATTTTTAAATTTTTAAACATTATTATTATTTCACATATGTCTATTTCCAACTGTAATTCTTTTTGAATAATTTTTAATTTTTTTGATAGCTTTCGATGTTGTTGCTGAAGATCATTTTGCTGTTGTTTCAAAAAATTATTTGAACTGAAAAAAAAATGGTGTTTACAATTCAAGTATACTTAAATTCGAATACAAACCTTTTGTTTTATTTATTTATTATTAAAAAACTATTTTTAAAATATTTATTTTGATACAAAATTAATTGAAGTAAACTTATTAAAAGTTTCTTGTTTCTTCAAGTTCGGGGATTAATTTGGAGAATCTTATTGGCAGAATAAAAGGAGTTGCAAAATCATCTAAAAATGCTAAAATTGAGTCTCCATACTTTGTCGTTATTTTTTCCATTTTTCTGACTCTATATTCATTTCCAACATCCAATTCGGCGATTTTTTTTAAGGAATTGTTGCAGTCGTTTAATTTGTCTAAAGTTGAAGTTTTATTTAGTTAGAAATGTATTTTAATTAAACACGGATAGTTGATTAAGTAATTTACTAATTGTTATACACGAGTGTTCAACAAGAAACCTGACTACAAACTAACTCTAATACATTCAGTTCTCACGAAAATATGCCCAAACCCCTTAGTGTGTGGGCCTCTCAAAGAAATATTATATACAAAGACAATTTATGTAACGTTTGACATGGTTCTTTACTTACGAATCGCGCCAAGGGTGGTAGTGTTAATTTAAATGTATACTTAATCCAATAATTATCTAACATTCGGCCATCCTGAGTAAGTCAGTCCCTGACCTTCTCTGGCAGGATTGTTTGAGGCTGGTACACTCTTGGTTGCAGGACACCGTCATTTGGATGAAATTATACTTCCAATGGACCTAAGATGAGAATTCTCTATTAGTCTTACTTAATAGTCAAAATGGAGGGAGCTGTCGTATCACTCCTCCATAAAACATACAACCTGTCTTGCTTCGGTTTTGATTTGGTCTTACTTTGCTTAAACAGACCACTTTGGTCTTACTTGGTGCTGGCAACGGACCACTTTGGTCTCACTGGCCTCGGGATTCCTAAAATAGACCACTTTGGTCATACTCGGTGCTTGCAACGAACCACTTTGGTATCACTTGCGCGCAACCTCGGGAACAAAATTTTCACTCTGTTACCCTCGTAAGACGCCACTTTGGCCGTGTCCCACATATTTCGTAAGGAAAGACGCGTGCACTGCGTCCCCCCTTCTTCATCATACCACTTTGGTATTTTCTTTGATCCTTCAGGATCCTACTTTACTGTGACACTTTGTAAAACCGACCCCTCTGGGTCTTGCTATCTACTTATATGTACTTATACTTATAATATAACATAGCATAGCATAACATTGCATAACATAGCATAACATAGCATAACATAATATAACATATTATGTACTTACATATCGTCGCCTTGGAAACTGATCCACCTCTTAAGGTGATCCGCTGCGGCCACCGACTTTGTCCGCTTGCGCCCTTCGCGCAAGTCCTCGACTTCATAACGGGGCTTCCAATAGCGGTGGCTTCACTGGTGATGGTGACCATGACGAGATCCCCTACTTCACAGTGTGAAGTTCACACTAAACAGCGTCGCGACGACCCTTGTCGTAGCGTTCCTTCTGCCGTCTTTGATCTTCGGTTATGTGCTGCGAAATTTTGTCTCGAACTGCTGTAGCAACCAATAAGCGCCTCCATCGGGGTTGCATTAATTCCTTTATTGTGTAGCACTTTGAATTGGTTTAACGTACTTGTCCCACTCGCGAGGATTACCGGCCGCTGTCGTAACTAACTCGTTAAGAACCGTTTGATTATAACGCTCGCACTGACCGTTGGCTCTCGGAGTAGCCACGGTGCTTATAACATGTTTGGGTATTTCTTATGAAATCTCAAAATTTGAGATATTATTGAAATTTCTTTTTTTTATAAACTTAGATATTTTTTTGCAGAGATCTTAAAAGTTGCTTTTAGAGATCTATCCAGGGGTATTGGTCTTCCATATTTTTGTATATAACCTATAAAAAATGAGGTTTTAAAAAATAAATAAATGAGGTAATGATTAACGGAGTGAGGGAATGATTTATTATTATATTATAGTAAAAAACAACATGTACAAATGAAAGAAATTATATATCATATTCTAAAGAAAATCAACTCAAAACTTTGTACTTAGAACATAAACAATCTTTTGTACTTATAGAAAATGACCAACATAAATATATATAAACCCAAAAAAATAACAAATATACTACTATAGAGGTAACAAATGTTTTTATCTTTATACTTATTACTATTTATTTTTAAACTTTGTACTTAGCACTTCTCCAAAACTTAAATTAAAACATCTTCATATTTATTTATTAAGCATTAATTATTATTAATATTAACCTAAATTAGTCTTTTCTTGGAGTTTTTTGGTCTTTGAGAACAATGAGTTATTCAATCTTAATTTTAACATCACTTGTACAGCCATCTAACTCTGTAATAACGTAATTCCCCCTTTTAACTAACTTTTGCGGCTTTATTTTTTGTATCACATCTTCCCATTTATATAATTGATCATCTTTAATATTAGGCCATCTCCAAAACTTCACACCTTGCTTCATGCACCTAACCATCAAACCATCTTCAAAAACAGATATAACTTCTCCGGGATACTTTGACCTTATTTCAGGACATGATCTCCAATGGTAACATTCTTATCACTGTCGGAGACAACAGTAGATCCCTCATTTTCTAAATCAATTGTATCATTTTCTTTTAACATTTCAGTATGATCTTAAATGCGCGAAGACGACGCTGAAGACAGTTGGTAATTATCCTTCATTATATCCAATTCCATTGACTTTTGAGGGGATTTGCTACGCCTCTTAGTAAATCGATTACTGCGGTGTTGTTGAAAATACCCCAAATGATAGTGGGTACAAACTTCTTCGCAATCTATGCATGAAAGTCTTCTGCACTGTAAGGTGTTGTGAAAAAATACGAACTTGTACTTTTGTGTTCCCCGGAAAGTAGGAATAGTCTTGGACTGTTTTATGAGATCATCCATCAGCGAAATATCTGCTGTGGTAACTTCAAACAATAAAATAGAAGGACACCTGGATTGAAGGATAGGTTTCAATGAATTCAGGTCTACGATATCATGGCCTTCTGCCACGACTTTATCAGCTGTCCGTTTCAGGGTTCCACCGACACCGTCAGGCGCTCCCTTACCGTGCCCGGGTTCAGAATAATGCCATCAAAAGTATGTGATTTCTGGATAGAGACACACCATTTCGAACATAAATTTATTTTTGTAATGATTAACAGGCCCATCACTCAACATATGTAATCGGGAAATAGGTAAATGTTGTGTTTTTATCCACTCAAATATGGGTTTCAAGTGAGCCCAAACAGCCATTGTGTCATGTCTATTGTCGCTAGAGAGAGAACAACAGGATACAGGTTTGATTGCATTATCCTTGCGCAAGTAAAGCACTCTTGTATGCATTGTTATCTGCTTCCTTCCTCTACCAAAGTAGACAGCTTGTATTTCCTCGTTATACTTACAGCAATAGTTTTCACTGTAATCTACATGAATTAAAATGTCGTTTATTCTTAAATTTTTCTTTATGTATTTTGAATGGCCTGATATTGATGTGCCAATATGTGAAAAAAAAGTGGTTATGCTACTTCCAGACTTTGAACAAGCAATTTCAATTTAACCCTATACTCTTTCTTCACGGGTTTACAAACTTTTTCCCATTTTTTTCACATCCTTTTCAAATGAACTGACTTCATAAATCCATTGTTGATAAATCACAAACTGATTAGGCATTGGTAAATAGTATTCCAAAGAGCGTTCCTTGCAGGTTGAACATTCCCTGAATAGACATTTTGTGGAATGCACATCGCAGGTTATTGTCGCTAAAATTGAAGTCACGTTACGAAATTGCAATGCTTTGACTTCATGCAATTTAGATATCATCAATTGAATATTGGCATGCTGTATGCATTGACAAGTATTTCGGGTATTCACGTTCTGCCAAGTAACCCAAAAGGGTCTGAATCTGCAAAAGGTTGATAAGCTTATCTTATAATTGACCGTGCTTAAGAACTTTTTATGTAAATTACGAAGTGTATCATATAAAACACGCTTTTGTTTAGTTTTACCATTTTTGGATTTAAGATAGTCTTTTTTCCCCGGACACATCCTTGAGTTTTCATCTTTCTCTAAAAATTTAATTACATCGTCCTTTAGCTTCATAATTTTATCACTTATTTTTCGAGGCTTTTGTCTTTTGAAAGTATCATGTTTAAAAAAAGGTTTCGATGCATAAAGTAACTTATATTTCTGCAATGATTTCAATTTCAACATTTCGTAATATTTTTTCTTTTTTCATGTTTCTTTCCAAGATCTTTGTAACTAGTCTCTAGATCTCTTGTTAACGCTTCTCCAAAAAGTAATTTCTTCTTCACACTTTCAGGAACGTTTACATTTTTTAGAAACGCATCTACTTTAGTTCCAGGCGATTCTGGGTCAGTTTTTTTTGTTTTCATTCTCAAATATCTCTTCTTATATTTTTCGCTTAATTTTACTGCATTCTTCAATTTTTTTTCCAAATTTGCAATCTTTGCATACAAAATAGCTCGTCGCCTTCGCATCTGTCGTCTATTTCGAGCAGCTACATCTTCTCTAATTTGCTGCACAACTGATACTGGACTTGGTGGAGGTGTATCATCAATTATTCTTTGTAAATTTTGGTGTGCTATAGCTTTTTTATTCCTATACACTTTACTATTTTCTTTCCATTGCTTTCGCTTTTGTCTAAGTTCTCTAGCATTCATATGAAAAACTGGTTTTACTTGACCTTTCTCTTTTTTCTTTAAATATTTTATTCTTTCTTTTTCCCGCAGTTTTTCCAAAGATTCAGTATTATTTTTCATTTTTTCTCTCCTTTTTCTGTCATACTCTTTCTTTTTTAATTTTTTTTCTGCATCACTCAACTTCTTTTGTCGTGCCATTTTGCTTCCACATACATGCACCTGTTTTAAATTAAATACCATGAAATACAAGTTGCAAGAAATAAATAAAAAATCTAAAAAAACCGCAGAATACTGAATAAATCATTCCCTCACATGGCCGTAATTCCCTCACTCCTAAATGCAGTAAGGGAATGACTGTGAGGGAATGACGAATTTTAACTTAAGCTACAAAAACACCAACACATAACCTAAATTTGCTTGTTACATTTAGAATATGTATTTTACTCCCAAAAATGCATAAAAGCAACAAATTTTAATAATAGATATTAAAATGCTTAATACATTCATGTAACGTGAGGTAATGATCGTAATAAATTTAACTTTTAACAATTTTTCGCAAAATATTTTTTTACACGAACTCACCTACGGTTGAGAAGAAATCGCCATCTTGAATCATTTGAGAGTGTTGCCAGGTACTAAAAACTTAAGGTTGCGTTCCTAAATATCGTTTGACACGTTCAGAAATCGAATATTCGTATTAGGATGAGGGAATGATTTTATTTGGCGGGACATATTTAAAATCGAATTATTGTTATTATAAATTCGTTGTTGTAAGACGGAAGGTTTTATAGACAATAACAAACATCTTTCTTATATATTTGCATAATTTTATTATTAAGAATATTGATATATTTCAGATAAATAGGCATTTTAGTAATATTTTTGAAGGTAAGGGAATGATTTTCACGGTAACAAAGTAGCCATATCTATTTTTTCTTTAGAGGTAATACGTTTTCTTTTTAAAAAATAGCGGTATAGACAGCGTACATTCAAATAAAAAAAAGACTTATGTAGTTAATGCATATGATTCGGCACTAATGGCTCGGGAATAAAATTTCGAAATTCGATGAGAAATACCCGTTTAATACCATAGTTTTTGCAAAACGCGTTAAAACTGGGTGAGGTAAATTCGGTACCCCGATCACTAATTATAATTATACGCGTCGGAACGCCAAATAGATGTACATTATCGGTCAGGGATTTTAATGCATGTCGTGTTTTAACATCGCGCACTGGTTCAATTATCACAAACTTTGTAAAAACGTCTACCACTGTAAATATGTATTTGTGTTTCCGGTAACTTGTTTCAAACGGTCCGACATGGTCAATGTGCAATGTGTGAAAGGGCACGGGCGTCTTCTCAATGGGGTGCAATTTACTACTTTCTTCTGGGCTTTTATTTGTAGTACCATACTACTCGTCGGCGATTTTCCTTGTCGAATTGTAGTAACATCGCACCCAAGTCCAATTGACCTAACATCTGTGCAGTTTCCTTTTTAATTCGGGGTCAAAATGGATAAGATAGCGCCAGTTGTAAGCATCTGTTTTACAGTTATAAATGCCTTTTGTTGCGGCTCGTCCCATGACCACCAGTTGTCCTTTTTTGTAAGTGATGCGGAAATTGTCGCAAACTCTTTTATAAATTTATAAGTAGCTCGATAGGCCGTTTCAAGGTTTGCTAGCCCTTCTCTGGTTACTGACAGTAGAATAATATCATCAATATATGGGAAAACAATCATATTTCTTAACGAACGGTGTTAATTAGTCTTTGGAATATGGCTGGAGAATTATTTAATCCAAAAGGTATACGTACAGTGCCGGTTTAACAGGGGTTTTTTGGGGACTATAGCACCGGGCGGTAAATATTTTTGGGGCGGTACCGCGTACCGCGCATAATTTAAAAAAAAAATACTTAATCGTTAGAAAAAAATGATTGCGACAATGCGTCGGCGGATACAACGGATACAAATGAGAAAAATGTTGTTAGAGTTAAAGCAGCTTCTCCATCAGAAAAACTTGATTTATTGGAAACGGAATAATTTGAACTTTTTGGATAGACGTTTTGCAAAGGGTTAATGAAGCCAATAAAGCAGTCCAAAAACAAAACATGGATTTAAGCACAAATGCTCATCTTTTGTCATTTTTAGTTGAGAACTTTGATTTTTTAAGTGATATCATTTTGATCATTACGAGGAAATTAACAGGAAACGAAAATTATGCTCAGAAGCGGATAATCATAAGAAAATTACAATTTGAAGAAAATAATTCAGAGGCAAGTTTAAGCAAAAAAGAAACAATGCGAACAATATGTTTTATTTTAATAATTGACAATCTATAATCCAAAATCATTTGTCGATATGATAGCTAGAAATCTGACACAAACAAATTTGAATTTTTGTTTAATCTAAAAGCATAAATCTTCCTGGAGGATTTGGATGAGTTTTTTACTCAAAAATGTGTCCAACTCAAGAAACTGGTAACTTCCCTTTCGGAAATAAAAATATAAACTCCATTGGAATTAGTATAAGTTTTATACGAAAATAAATTAATATCTTCATTTCCGAATATTAATAATTGTCTGCGATTTTTTTTTATAATGGTTTCAAATGCAAGTTGTGAACGATCTTTTTCTGCTAAAAAAAAGGGTAAAGAACTACCTAAGAAATATAATTCCCCAAGAAAGATTTAACTCCTTAGCAATTCTGTCCATTTATCAAGACCTGCTAGATGAAATAAATGTAAAGTGTTATAAAACAATTTGCTACTATAAAGACTTGAAAACAACCTTTTAATAATTAATATTAGTATTAGGATTTCTCAATATTTATTTAAACCAAAGAATAATGTTTTATTTATTTATAACTTTTGATTAGTTTTTCTTAGTACTTAGTATTGTTTATATAAACCAAAGAATGTTTTATTTTTTAGTTAGTGCTTTTGTATGAGGCGCCGTTTGTGTCAAAATTAAAAGTGGTAAATAAACTTATTTTGTTTTATAAATAATTAATTATATGCTTTATAAAATTATTATTACTTTTGATTCGCAGAAAATTATTTTATAAAAAAATAATTTTATAAAAAAAAATTATTTTATAAAAAAGTAATTTTATAAAAAAAAATTATTTTATAAAAAAAAAATTATTTTATAAAAAAAAATTATTTTATAAAAAAATAATTTTATAAAAAAATTATTTTATAAAAAAAAATTATTTTATAAAAGACGACGGGCGCATTTATAAATTAATTTTTACTGCAGCCATCTCTCTTTGTTTGTAGACACTCGAGTAAACCCGAGTGAACCCGAACGCCCTTCGCCAGATACAATTTTATGACGGACTCGGCTTTTGTTTGACGCAATTTGGGGAAACGATTGAAAATAATAATTTATTATTTTTATTAATTGATTAATTAATTTTTTTATCTACATTTATTTTGATTTTTAGTTTTTAACAAGAATTCTTTATGTTTAAACGTTTTTTATAAGAAAGCACTTTAGTTAAATGCAAAACAAATAATGATTTACACCTTTATCTGTTAAAATTAATTACCTTACATTTTAAATATCTAAATTTTTAAAAGTAAATTAACTTAACCTTTAATTCGACACCTGAGTCCCCGGGACTCGCATGCGAATTTTGTTGGCGCCTAAAGCCTAATTTAAAGATTGCCTTCCTCCTTTCTCCCTTCCTCCCGTAAAAGATGAACAATACGATCACCGTAGTGCTGTTTATACATTTTAACAGTTAATTATTAGTTAAAGGTGTAAATCATTATTTGTTTTGCATTTAACTAGAAGTGCTTTCTTATAAAAAACGCATATACCTACCTATAATTATAGGTATATGAAAAAACGTTTAAACATAAAGAATCTAAAAATCAAAATAAATGTAGATGAAAAAATTAATTAATTAATTAATAAAAATAATAAATTATTATTTTCAATCGTTTCCCCAAATTGCGTTAAACAAAAGCCCAGTCCATCATAAAATTGTATCTGGGAAGGGGCGTTCGGGTTCACTCGGGTTTACTCGAGTGTCTACAAACAGCAGTAAAAATTAATTTATAAATGCACCCGTGGTCTTTTATAAAATATTTTTTTTTTATAAAATAATTTTTTTTTATAAAATTATTTCTTTATAAAATAATTTTTTTTTATAAAATTATTTTTTTATAAAATAATTTTTTTTATAAAATAATTTTTTTTATAAAATTATTTTTTTATAAAATTATTTTTTTTTATAAAATTATTTCTTTATAAAATATTTTTTTTTATAAAATTATTTTTTTATAAAATAATTTTTTTTTTATAAAATTATTTCTTTATAAAATAATTTTTTTTATAAAATTATTTTTTTATAAAATAATTTTTTTTATAAAACAATTTTTTTTTATAAAATTATTTCTTTATAAAATAATTTTTTTTTATAAAATTATTTCTTTATAAAATTATTTTATAAAAAAAATTATTTTATAAAAAAATAATTTTATAAAAAAAAATTATTTTATAAAGAAATAATTTTATAAAAAAAAATTATTTTATAAAAAAATAATTTTATAAAAAAAATTATTTTATAAAAGACCACGGGTGCATTTATAAATTAATTTTTACTGCTGTTTGTAGACACTCGAGGAAACCCGAGTGAACCCGAACGCCCCTTCCCAGATACAATTTTATGACGGACTGGGCTTTTGTTTAACACAATTTGGGGAAACGATTGAAAATAATAATTTATTATTTTTATTAATTAATTAATTAATTTTTTCATCTACATTTATTTTGATTTTTAGATTCTTTATGTTTAAACGTTTTTTCATATACCTATAATTATAGGTATATGCGTTTTTTATAAGAAAGCACTTCTAGTTAAATGCAAAACAAATAATGATTTACACCTTTAACTAATAATTAACTGTTAAAATCTATAAACACGGTGATCGTATTGTTAATCTTTTACGGGAGGAAGGGAGAAAGGAGGAAGGCAATCTTTAAATTAGGCTTTAGGCGCCAACAAAATTCGCATGCGAGTCCCGGGGACTCAGGTGTCGAATTAATGGTTAAGTTAATTTACTTTAAAAAATTTAGATATTTAAAATGTAAGGTAATCAATTTTAACAAATAAAGGTGTAAATCATTATTTGTTTTGCATTTAACTAAAGTGCTTTCTTATAAAAAACGTTTAAACATAAAGAATTCTTGTTAAAAACTAAAAATCAAAATAAATGTAGATAAAAAAATTAATTAATCAATTAATAAAAATAATAAATTATTATTTTCAATCGTTTCCCCAAATTGCGTCAAACAAAAGCCGAGTCCGTCATAAAATTGTATCTGGGGAAGGGCGTTCGGGTTCACTCGGGTTTACTCGAGTGTCTACAAACGAAGAGAGATATGGCTGCAGTAAAAATTAATTTATAAATGCGCCCGTCGTCTTTTATAAAATAATTTTTTTTTATAAAATTATTTTTTTATAAAATAATTTTTTTTTATAAAATATTTTTTTTTATAAAATAATTTTTTTTAATAAAATAATTTTTTTATAAAATATTTTTTTTTTATAAAATAATTTTTATTTATAAAATTACTTTTTTATAAAATAATTTTTTTATAAAATATTTTTTTTTTACAAAATAAGTTTATTTAGCACTTTTAATTTTGACACAAACGGCGCCTCATACTTTTGATTAGTTTTTATAATTTGTTTATAAAGGCTCATTTTATATTTTATAGGATACTAAGTTTACTGTTAGATACCAGCCTAACCAACCTAATCTTCCACTTGACGTGAGAAAGTAAGACTTAAAAATTTAAAAATGTTTTTAAAAAAGTAATATTTTAAAGCATTGGGCGTTGTGTTTTTGCCAGAACCGGGCGGCGAACTAACTTAAACCGGCACTGTATAGTATACAGTGTATACGTAAAAACTCAAAATGGCCGTCTGAATATAGGTATTGTAGTTGTTTCGTTAAATTGCTACTTTAATGACATTTTAAAACATACTACATTTGGCCGCCTCGTGACCTGGGCGATTGTAGTTTTTGCACTTCTTTGGAGGTATAATACATTTTCTTGCAAGATGTTCCGTGGACCCGCAGTTAAAACACTGTCGCGGTTGATCGGACCGATAATTATAATTATTAGCCCCCGATACCGACGGCTTATTAAAATCTTGCGACGGCTTGCTCGCTTTATTACGACTGTGCGCTGGAGACACTTCCGAGTTATTAGCGGATATCGCGCTCGATTCATTAAGGCTATTTTTCTCGAACTTATTTGACATCCTTATCGGCATATTTCCCATTTCTGTCATAAAAGCATATAGTGCATCGGGATTTGTATGCTGCGCGGACCGGATTGTACGCGCAATTCCCTCATGTAGTATTCCGCCGATTATCGCGTCAACTAAGTAGCGGTTGGGAATTTTTATTTGTAGCGCCCTTAATTTACACATTTTCTCGAAACAATAGTCCCCTAGATTTTGTCCCGACTGCGCTTCATAGTTTGCAGCTTCTTTTAACAACTTGCAGAACGGCAATTGTTTATGAAACTGTTTTATTAAAGTCTTTTTAAACCCGGCCCAGGTACTGTTATTTGTTATTCGTATCGTACTATTTACGCGCGTTACCCTGTAGTCGGTTTGCGATTAATCTCATAATGTCATCACCGTCCCAATGGTACCGTTTAGCAATAGTGTCAACGCGTTCAACCCATTTATCGACAAAATCATCGTTTACAGGTGGCGTTTGCGTTTCATATCAACAATCACTCACTCACATATAATATCGTTTGAACTTAACGTTGGCGGCGTTAAATTATTTCACTTATATTTCACTTAAATGTACAATTATTATTGACGTACAATAATATCACTTAGCATAAACTTAATATCGAACTTGTTATCACTAATTTGGGTCTCTAATCCACACTTCTGACTTGTTAGAGATGTATTTTAATTAAACACGGATAGTTGATTAAGTAATTTACTAATTGTTATACACGAGTGTTCAACAAGAAACCTGACTACAAACTCTAATACATTCAGTTCTCACGAAAATATGCCAAAACCCCTTAGTGTGTGGGCCTCTCAAAGAAAAATTATATACAAAGACAATTTATGTGAAGTTTGACATGGTTCTTTACTTACGAATCGCACCAAGGGTTTATATACAAAAGTTTATATACAAAAGTTCTCTCTTAGTTCCACCCTTACTTCTTAAGAAGTCCCATAAGCCAACTGAATGGCTTGTGCGGGTTAGGGGTAGGAACGGACCGCGGGCTTAAAGTCCCCTCCGAAGGACTAATACACAATAGGACAAACACAAATGGTGGGATTCGAACCCACGACCTCCGGCTTGTAGTCAGCATGCACTAACCACCAGACCACCGTCGGCGGGTGCTAGTGTTAATTTAAATGTATACTTAATCTAATAATTATCTAACAATATCGGCGATTTTTTTGAAGGAATTGTTGCAGTCGTTTAATTTGTCTAAAGCATTCATCTTGACAATTATTGTTGTTGTTGAATTTAAAATGTAAGCAAAATTACAATTATAATGTACTACCAGGTAAAAAATGCCCTCTTATTTATACAAATTGGCAGTCTGTGGGTAGGGATGAGGAATTTAATTAATTTCCAAATTCTCATTAGCAAGGATCTTTTAAACATAAATATAAAAAAAATTGTTGCAACAGTATACTAATTATTTACTGAATGCATTTATTAAAAACTATAGGTCATTGCAATGACCTATAGTTTTTAATAAATAGTAACATTTTAAATGCAAAATTGACTTGAATTGGTTTTAAAAAGGTTTTATTATAGCGGAAATAATGCAAACAGTTTTAAAAAGGTTCTCATAAATGCCAATTATACTTGGGAGAAGATGGTTTTAAAAAAAAGGTTTTATAGCTATCTTAAAGAACTCCTATTTAAAACCTTGTGGCTTTCAAGAGTATTTACTCTTTAAAATTACTTTATTTGGACTTAAGTTTAACCTTAATAAGGTTAAATTTTCTTAAGATACTTCTAAAAGCAGTATTGTTTTATTATTGTTTTATGATTGACAAATAAAAGCAACTTTGTTTTATGATAGCTTTAATTTTTAGTTTTAAAGCGTTCTTGAAGTCAGCTTAAGCAAGGTACTTTTAAAACTATCTTGCTTTTAAGGAACCCTTATTAAAGCTCTGTCTTATAATGCTCTTGCTTTTAAATTTTTAAATACTTAATAAAACTTTTTTTATTTGAATAAAACCCTTGTAAGGGTCCTGTAGTATATAAACTTCTAAATTCAAATTTAGCGCTATTTTTACCAAGGAAAATTTAAATAATCCACTAAAAATAATATTATAGTTTTATAAATTAATTAAGTTAAAATCCTATTGAATTTTAAAGTTTCACTTCTTTGTATCTGAACGTAGAAATATTGGGGTGATATGTTTATGTTAGACATTCTTGCTTAAGTGGCCGAGATGTTTAAAAGCTAGATTAGGAAATAGAATACAGACAGAGGGTTTTTGCTCGCCCTTCGAGATACTCCTGTTAAACAGTTTGTGAAATATATTATAATATAGTTATAGTTTTTGTGATTGTTACCGATTTTCTGCTATCATTATTAGGTATGTACTCTTTTATAAATTGTAAATTTGCTAGTAATGATAAACAACTCCTCGTTTTGGGTTTTCTTAATATATTTTTGCTAGTGATGCCGCCGATACGAGAGATTCTCGCCTCTCGTCTCGTCTCGTCTCGTCTCGACGAGACGAGAGGGCGATTTTCTCTCGAAAAAATGCTCGAGACGAGACGAGAGAATGCCCTCTCTCGCTCGAGAATTTCTCGTTTCTCTCGATCTCTCTCGTTCTCTCGATTATAAAAAACAATTTTTTTTTTACATAAAAATTATAATTTTGCACATAAATGACGATATTTATTTGGACCAATGAGAACATTATTCGCATTTCATAATAAACAAAATTTCTTCCTGGTTAACGTTGTATTATTTTATAACACAACCAAGAAAAAATTACTTATAAAATAATAATAATTTTTAAAATTTACCCTGTATAATCACATCTATGGCACTCCTTACTATTAAAAAACCCGTATGCTTAATAAGCATTTCTTATTCAATAAACTTATCAACAACATGTAGTTTTTGAGGGCCTGATTACAAATTTGATATCCATTTTTTTTTTTTAATAAAATGGCTGATCCAATATGACGAAAATTCGTCGTTCGGCTTTAATGGTTTGGGTAAAATTTAGTATTCAGATATTTATGGGGTCCCTGATTCAGAATTTGATATCCATTAAAAAAAAACAAAATTGCGGATTCAAAATGACGGACATGCGCAGTAGGTACAAGATGGTTGGATCTATGTGGAGTAGTTACATCATATATGCGCAGTAGTTTTCAGATGGATGGATCAAATGATTTGATCCATTGAAAACTACTGCGCCGATACAGCCTGTTTCTTTTAACTTGAGACAGCTCAATATCTCGAGAAATACGCATTTCACGGAAAAATGTTTTAAATAAAAGGTTAATGTGACCAAAGGGGACATTATTTGGTGCTACCGCTAGCCACCCCCTACCCCTCCTTAAGGGTGAAACGGGGGGTAACTTTGGAGAGTCAAATGGGAAACCATTTTTTTAACAGATTTTGGTAGTACATAAAAAAATGAATAACTTTTATTTAAAACTTTTTTCAATTTATCAACAGATGGCGCTGTAATTCAAAATTTAAGAAAAATGGGTTTCCCTGTAAAATGTATTATTTTAAACGTTTGAAAAACAAAAATTAACATTAAATCAACAATAGTCGGCTCTGAAAACAATTTATAACAAATGTTCAAAATGTCGTCCTTCCATTTCGACACCAAGTGGAACACCAGCGTCCCTGGTCGGTAAACGTTTGGTGCGGTACCTTTGGCGAACGGCATTAAATGGTGAAAATTACCGGAATTTTCTAGAAAACGATCTGCCAGACTTCTTCCTGTGGGGTTACTTGAAAGAAAAAGTTTACGCTGCAATTCCTACAACTCGGGAGGACATGGTGGAGCCAGAATTCATTACCCGCATTCAAAAATGTGTCGAAATGAAAGGATGACATTTTGAACATTTGTTATAAATGGTTTTCAGAGCCGACTATTGTTGATTTAATGTTAATTTTTGTTTTTCAAACGTTTCAAATAATACATTTTACAGGGAAACCCATTTTTCTTAAATTTTGAATTACAGCGCCATCTGTTGATAAATTGAAAAAAGTTTTAAATAAAAGTTATTCATTTTTTTATGTACTACCAAAATCTGTTAAAAAAATGGTTTCCCATTTGACTCTCCAAAGTTACCCCCCGTTTCACCCTTAAGGAGGGGTAGGGGGTGGCTAGCGGTAGCACCAAATAATGTCCCCTTTGGTCACATTAACCTTTTATTTAAAACATTTTTCCGTGAAATGCGTATTTCTCGAGATATTGAGCTGTCTCAAGTTAAAAGAAACAGCCTGTAAGGAAACCCAATTTTCTTAAATTTTGAATTACAGCGCCATCTGTTGATAAATTGAAAAAAGTTTCAAATAAAAGTTATTCATTTTTTTATGTACTACCAAAATCTGTGAAAAAATCGGGTCATTTCATTTGACTTTCTAAAGTTACCCCCCGTTTCACCCTTAAGGAGGGGTAGGGGGTGGCTAGCGGTAGCACCAAATAATGTCCCCTTTGGTCACATTAACCTTTTATTTAAGACATTTTTCTGTGAAATGCGTATTTCACGAGATATTGAGCTGTCTCAAGTTAAAAGAAACACCTATTATAGGTGTATAATACTAGATGTAACTACTCCACATAGATCCAACCATTTGATTCAAATGCGCAACATTTTCGGCGTAAAAAGTCTTACTTTATTAGTGTGGTCTTGGCACACATTTTTTTTAATTTCCAGTTTAAATTTCTATATAATAGTATATTCTGTAACAAGTTTGGAATACAGCATATTCCGCTAGAGTGAAGAGTTTGTCACACGAGCCGAAGGCGAGTTTGACAGTTTCACGAGAGCGGAACATGCAATTCCAAACGTGTTTCAGACTATACTTTTTCTACGTTTCCAAAAAATACCATAAAAAAATAATTTAATTGGAAGAAAGTGAGGTTGGATCTGTCTAAAATTTGTTAGATATTAAAAACAGAGATGTCGCCACGAGTGTTTATTCTGTCATCCGATGATAGAATATTTCATTCTGTAACACTTTACGGAATATGTGTCATTCCATAGATAAAAGTAATATTAGAACGGTCAAATTCCGTAA